GGGGGGGGGGGTCTTTGCTCCCAGCACTGCTTCCCAGAGCTTTCGTGCTCCCAACACGTCCTGACCCTGCCACAGTCTTCCTCGTGCTGCTTTCTGTGAGACCTGAGCATGGGTGATGGTTTGCACATCTGGGTTCAAACCCCGGCTCTGCTGTTTATTAGTTGAGCAAGTTATACTCTGAGCCCTTCGGTATCCACAGAGGTCCTTCACATGTAAGAGAGCCCTCTTGTTATCATCTGCAACATGGGAATTGATATCCACCTACCTCATAAGGGTGCTGTGAGGATGATGGGACATCATTCATGTAAAGCCCTAGGCCAGAGCCTTCCCCAGTAATCCCCAGCTCAATAATTGATAAGTTGGTTAGGAAACTTTGGTCTTTCAGCCCTAGATTTCCCCTTATCCTAATCGATAAGGAAGCTGGATTAGGGAAGAGTGTCATGGTTCTTACTGCAGGAAACTGAGGACATTGTCCCTGCATTTAAACAGAAAGAATAGGTACCAGGAGCATCTGGGTGGCTCAGTCAGTTGAGCATCTGACACTTGGTTTCATCTCAGGTCACGATCTCACAGTTTGTGAGTTCAAGCCCCACGATGGGCTCTGTGCTGACAGCACAAAGCCTAATTGGATTCTCTCCCCGCCCCCCACTCTCTCTCTGCCCCTACCCCCTCTCAAAATAAATAAATAGCCATTTAAAAAGAAAAAGAAAAAACAGGTACTGGAATGGGACCTTGGAGGTGGCTACCAGCAGGAGAGGCCTCTTGGGAGATGTGACCATTGTTGCTAATGCATGTTCAGGACTTGTGTGCCTGCTTGACTCTGTTGTGGATTCTTCCCTCCTGGGAGACACCTTCTTCCATTACAGAGCTCCGTAGTATTCTGAAGACCTCAGCCATGCTGGGTGAACGTGGGCAGAGGAATGAACGCTCAGTGTGAACTTGGGTTGGAATGGCTTTTCCAGCAGGGGCTTCAGGAAGGAAGGTAGCAAAGCCAGCCACAGTACAGCCTCTCCGGGCTGGCTCTGAAACCCTCTCCCTGGTTTCTGCCCCAAATCACACTCCTCCAGCTCAAGTTCAAAGGATGGCAAACCATGGCTCTTGTGTCAGAGGCAGCAGGACCACTGACATCTAAGAGCGCATGTTAGCTACTTGAGAAAGGAGGCTGCTCTCCAGGTCAGTCTGGTCACCAGGACGCTCTCGTACAATGTATGTTTCTTAAAACATTGAAACGCTAACGTGTCGGTTGGTGAACAATGGTGCCCCCGAGCCCTTGAGTGTCCCCACCACAGGTCTGGTCGTTCAGCCTCTCCCTAGGACTCCCTAGACTTCCTTAGGATCAGTTCACAAAGGGTCAAAGTTGTGGTACAGCCTTATTGGCACCTGCAGACTGGGCTCCATCACCACACCCAGCGTCCACTCTGATCGGCTGACAACAGGGACAAAACAGACCATTGAAATCCTCACTTTAAAAACATAGATGCATGAATGCAATTTTGGCTTTTTCTGGAAATTCTGACAAATCCTGGAAACTCTCTGGAAAGTCAGCATCTCGGGCAGAGATCTAATCATCTCGGACACTAGATCTAAGTGCAAGTTTGTGTTGTGGTGCCATTTCTTGGCTGCTCTCGTTAACCTAAAAGTCATTCTCTGCGATACTGAAACATGCTGTTGGTGCCCCTCTGCCTTAATTACATGCCCTCTGCTTCTCTGCCTTGGAAATACCTCTTTTGTTCTAAAGCCCAGCTCAAGCCTAATACAGTCCTTGCTACATGCTAGGTGCTCAACACATATGGAAATAAAAAGTGAAAGAAAATAGTTATGATATTATGTTAACCCAGGAAAACAGGCTACTAGATTTTACATGCACAGAAAAAAAGTCTTGCAAAGAAATTGGCCATCATACTTGTGAGTGACAACTCTTTCCTTTTGGTTCTTTCTTGTGTTTTCTAAATTTTCAATAATGAGCACAAATTCAGCAATAAATGCTTTGTAAAGAAGAACTCAATATATGTTGCCCTGTTTCTTACTGAAACAAAACAAAAACACGCTTCCAGCATAGAGATGCAGTGAGGACCCTGGAGATCTGGTGGTGAAGAGACATTCCTGCTCTCCCAGAGTTGCCAGTCTGGTGAGGAGACAGACCAGGAATGAGCATTGCAAGTGCAAGGGGCCAGAGAGATGGCCTTGGCAGAATCTTCATAGGACAAGCCGCTTGGATCCCCTTCAGAGACGTAATCTGAGTTTCATCCAGCTCAGTTCTCTGAGGGGATCAATGTGTAGTTAGGGACAAAGACAAGCAAGCCAAACAAACAAACAAAAAGCCAAGTGGCAAGTGCTTCACCAAATGCCTTCTGACCCCCTAGTGCTGTGAGTGACGATGCTTCTGGGGTTGCCCCTGGGAGCCCGAGGGCAGGTTCATCTAGACTGGCTCAACCAGAGCAGCACTTTCTTCCACAGTTCAAGTGCACAAATGCCAACACAGAAAAGAGAATCTAGATACCAGGCCTGATCTTTTTCCCCCAGAAGAAAATGGATGTAAGGATTCAAAGACATTTGGAAAAGCTCATTTTTTGCTTGTCATTATGATAGGCAAATGGGCAAATTGTTAGCAATGTGCAAATGAAGATAATTGCTATCTTTCCCTGGTAACCTTTAACTGTTGGCAATGTACTGCTTAAGGCATCGTTTCTAAAGTATGAGGACCACTCTTCTGTCCTCTGAAAAATTAAAACTCCAGAATGCAGATGCAACTGTAATTGGGGGTTGGAGAGAGAACTTGGGAATAGATGGTGAGCTGGTTATAAAACTTTGCTGGTTGGAAGCCATACTGGTGTTTATGACTCGGCTAGAGCAACCTTCTGAGGCATGGGCAGATTCTCCATCAACAATGAGGGGCTTGGTTCTGAAGTGCTCATTTGATCCCAAAATTTTTATGGTTAACTCCTTCCAGTTTCTCATTACTTTCTCCCTCTGGTTATAGTGTCCCCCTTATTCCCACTTCAAATTCCCTTCAGGGTCTATTTAACATCCTCATGAGTGGGTTACCGAGGAGGCCCTTACATAGGCTTACAAGATATAAGCCCTCAGCATGGGAGCTTAGAATCTGAAGAACCATGGATATGTATGTTGGATTTCTTTACTCAAGAACTTGGAAAATTCCAAGGATAATATGGCATGGTGTCGTAGTAGGCTACAAGAACAGAGAGGCTGACCATCTGCAACATCATCAGAGCACATAGGAACACAAATCTATGGTAGTTCACGGAACACTTTCGTCTAGAATGATTTAAGTGTTCCTCCAAACCAGAGCCAGCCCAAAGTCTTCAGACAAGAGGAGAGGCTTGGTAACTACTGATCTTCAGTGGAAGATATTTAAATATATAGTAGGTCATGGTCTCCGTTGTTATTTTCTATTTGAAATGCATTTGGACTCTAGAGTGTTTGTGGGTGTGAATGCCAGCTTTGCCATTTACTAGTTGTGGGACTTTGGGCAAGGTACTTAAGCACTCCAAGCCTCACTTTCCTCATCTGCAAAATGGGGATCATAACAGCATTTGCATGTGTGACTATTGAACAAAATAGTACTTGGAATAGTGCTTTGCATATAGTAAGCATGGCATTAGTGTTAACAATTGACATACTTATTTTGGGTTGTTATGCCACCAACACATAGCTGGAAAAATTACAGTAATTACAACATCAGCCTCCAAAAATGTATGCTATTGTTTCCATGATCTTGAAAGCCACCCTGAGAGGAAAGCATTATTTTTCCCTTTTACAGATGAGAAAACAGAGAGGTTACATATTGTAACCATGGTCGTTCTGCAAGCAGAGCTAATGGTACTGAAGTCTCTAGGCTTCAACTCCTTTCCCACCATTGCCACACCGTTTTCTAAGAATGAAATAAGCCCAAAATTTTAACACAGGCAAGGAAATTTGACTTCTAAGGTTTCACTGAGGCTTAAGGGAATGGCAAGGGAAATTCACATGGAATGTGGATGGTTTAACTCAAAGGATCACATGGTCAGGGGGAGAACTGATTCTGTATACCAGGGACCTACGCACCTGCGGTGAAACTCATGTACAAGCATAACAGCCAGCATGTGACTGATAGTGAAAGAGAAAGAAATAGACGTTCAGTCAGTCATTGCTTTGTGCAATCATTCGTTCTATTCATTCATTCCACAAACACTTATTGTTTGTCTATGTTGTGTGACATATTACATACTAGGGATGTAATAGTGAATGAGACATAATCTTCTCAACAAGGGTGTTATAACCTGGGAGAGAAGATCGGAAATAAAATGTAATTAGAATACAACGTACC